AGACACTAGAACATAGGAGAGAAGGCTCTATGTAGGCACCAGATTGATTTTTCCATGTTCGATGAGTTGTGTGGGTGTTGTCTTCAGCAATGGGGACTTGTTGTCAGTTTGTGGAGAGAACCTATTCTCTGGACAACAGCCTAGGTTGTTTGGGGATTTATACATCCATGTGACTTTTACTTCCTTATAGACTTGGTACAATTTTATTCTTGTTCCATGTGTTGACAGTTAGATACTGGGAAAATTATTTGTTTCAGAGCACAAGAATATTGGACATTTTATTGGTTCCATTTTAAAATCCCCATATACAGATACTTCAGTATCATTTCCCTGCAATATAAATATGCAATATTAAAGTGCCCCCATTGTTCCCTGAGTCCTAACTAAATAGTTTTGTATGGTAACAAGCTCCTTCCACTGGGGGAGCAAAGTCAGGTTCTCTCTACCCAACTGAAGTACGTTTCTAAGCTTTTTCCTTTTAGGACTTTAGTTTAGTCAGCATGGGTAATTGCACAAGTCTGAGAGTTTTCTCACTGGCTTTGGAATTCTGACAAATCTAGAAATGAAACTGAGCCCTAATGTTTACAATGAGTACTCTGGGGCAGTCACTTAACCTCTCTGGGTCTTCTTTACCTCATTTGTAAACTCAAATCCTTAGAAACAGCTCCTTCACAGAGCTGCTTGGGATCACTAAGAACATGACATTAGGGCCAGTGTGATGACTCAGAGAGTAAAGTAAAGGCTCAAACTTTAGCCCCTGGAATCCATCCATCCAAGGGAAGAAGGAGAGAACCACTCCATAAAGTTTTCCTCTAACCTCTACATGTGCATGGTGACACAAATATGCTCACACCCATGCATAAACACACAATACACCCTTGCCACCATCACTGCCGCTGGCACTACCACCATCACTTCCACAACTACTAATAATAAAAATAGCAATATGGCGTAGATGTGCTTTGAATATTAAGATAGTGCACTGCACATATAGCGCCTGGCTCATAGTGAACATTACATAAATCTGGTTTTGGCTGCATTTTAGTACCATATTCCTCTGCAAGCTGTTGAAGATGGCTAGCCTCAGGGTTCTGCCAAAGCACATTTCTTAATATCCCATTGGCCATAGTAGCTACCTGCCAGGTTCAGCTTCAGGGAGAAGAGTAATGAACGCTCTATTGTGGGAGAGGGGCAGCCAAATGTCATGTTCATTTCCCTTCAGTTTACCACGATTGTGAAACACTGAGTAGATCCCTCTGATTCTAAGGGGCCACATGGTTTGGTTTGTCCATTGATAGGAAAGCCATGTTCAAGTAGGTACTTCATCACTTCTGAAGCAGCTTAAATAGGTTCACACTATTCACACACAGGGCTGAAAATAGCTGACACTGGGAGAGTTTAAATGCCATGCCTGAAGTTAACACAATGAGTCAGACTAGATTTTGAAGTCTTCTGGTTGAAGTGATAGATCTGTGTAAAGTAATGGACTTGGCTTATTGAATTACCCTTTTCTTAAAGTTGATACAAGTCGGTGCCATTATTCTATTTTCAGTGTGATCCAGTGGCCGTTAGTTCCTCAGTGAGCTTGTCCCCTGTGCTTATGGCTTAAAATGTAATAATAGTTCATTTACAAAATGGAAGGTGTCCCACCAATCGAAACTGTTGAGTCTAAGGCTGAGGGGATAGTTGAGTCAGTAAAGCACTTACGTTGCCAGCATGATGCCTATGTTCATCCCCAGAACCCATGTTAGTGTGGTAGCATGTGCATGCAATCTCAATGCTGAAGGGCAAAGGTAGGTGTATCCTTTGGGTTTGCTGACTATGCAGCTTAGCCTGTTTGCCACAGTCCAGACCAGTGAGAGACCCCACATGAAAAACAAAAGATGGGTGGAGCCAGTGGAATGACACCTAAGGGTGTCCTCTGACCTCCCCACACACGTGCACACAAGTGTGCACACTGACAGACACAAAACAAGCAACAAAACATACACATTTGCATCTAGTTCTGGCCTCAATTGTTCTCTTTATCTTTGGGGAATTGTTGTGCCTCCTTACCTTCACTGGGACATGCTGTAAGGATGAAGTGCTTGCGGCATAGCTGTATGAGCTCTTGTCGTCAGTTGTAGCCTGGAAGCTATGATAAATAGCATGATCACATACAAGGCCATAGAAGATGGAAATGAGGGTTATGTGTTGGGACTACATAACCATGACCCCGAGACCCATGATTGTATTTGGAAACAATGCAACTTAAACTTAAAATTCAAGTACCTTCTTATATATTCATTTTGCTGTCATTGTTGAGAAGACTGGCCACCATGCTTATTTTGTACCTCACTTTGTAACCTTCATATACCTTATTTAGTTAGCACAAAAACTCAACTTGTAATATCTGCTTTTTTTTTTTTTGTAGTTGTGAAAACACAGATTCTGAAAGAGTAAGTCACTTTTCTGAGATCTTGTGGCTCAAAATGAGTAGGTTCTAAACTTAACATGTATGTTGACTACCCATCTTGCTGTTCCAACCACAAACTCAGTATTTATACTTTCTTCATGGCCATAATTGACTCAGTTTACCTTTATATAGTAACGCAAACCTTGTTCTCGACCCCCCATTCTACTTATTTAAGATTTGATTATGTACTGAAGGACCCTGTGGCTTAACTTTTCTTAATGACATGGTAAGCCCTCTTCAGACATATCCATCACCTGTGATCTTATTGAGGGCCCAGGAGGCAGACAGCAAATACTTATAGAACCCGCCTGGCTCCAAGTGCCTCCTAGAGTGAGACTATCGGGTACAGCTGGAAAGTGATTTATAGCTTTCATTATCTGCATAATTCCTTTTTTAGTGGAAGTAGCCACCAGTACCCTCCGGATGGTTCCTCCTTATAATGAGGCTCCCCAAGTAAAAGGAGGCTCACATCCTACATAGAGAATTCAAAGAGCTGACGTCCACCATGGTACAGTGAGGTGCATGCCAGGACCCCCAAGGACATGAGGGTCTGTAAAGGCCATTGGCCTGCACCAAAGCAGTGGGCTCTTTGCAGTAACTTCTAGGAGGAATGCCTTGGTCAGCAATGCACCATTCACTTCGTGCCTCAGCCCCCAGCCCATCTCAGTCCCCTTGGCCCCCCCTCAGTGTTAGAGCCGTGCACCTCCTTAGCTCAGCACCCCAATTCTGTGATCTAATTTGAGATTACTCATTTTATTAATTAAGCTACTTGATGCCTAACATGCTTTTGTTCCAAGCTTACAAACTTCTAGTTTTCTTTCTCCCAGTAAATGTGGTTTTGGTTTTCATTTTGGTTTTCGTTTTGGTTTTGGTATGATTGAGTAATGGCAGCATTTCATCACTCTGCTCCTTCCACTGTCACCTGTTCCCTGGGACACTCCTACTGCTGCGCTTAGCATCGATCCACTTGCCAGCATTTGTTCGTTTAGTTACACATAAACAGAATTTTTGCTTGGTACAGGGGATGCAACACTGAACAAATACAGGTGAGCTGTCTGTGGTGATGATGGATAGGTGGGAGTTGACAAGCTGATTAGGTGCTATGAAAGACCATATGATCTAGGTGGCTAGTACCAAGACAGGCAGATTAGGAGGCTCTTCTAGGAAGAAACATTGGATTTGATGTCTGAAGCAGAAGGGAGCTACCCAAGTATCAGTACAGTTCTCTCCAGGAAATGTGCTTTTCTCCCCACACACCCACACACACACACACACACACACACACACACACACACACACCTACCTCTTTCAGAGTGAAGAATCATATGGGGAGATGGCAAGACTTAGGAGTGGTGCTCTGACATTGCCTTGGAGAATCAAGGACATCTATCCTTGGGGAGTAGAAATAAAATCTCATCAGTATTAACATGTAAAAGTTATGTGAAGGGCAGGAAACAACACACATAAGAGATTCTGGAAGGATCCTGTATTGTTACACATGTAGGCTAACAGATGGAAGGATAAAGGTGCAGAGAAACGTGGCATGGTTTCTTGAGTCAAGATAACATAACATCTTACACTTGAACATAGTCCTTGCTTACCACTCTGTTTCAGTTGCACTGGTGCAGAGACTTCCCACCAAGTTCAGGAAGGGAACACTGTTTTGAAGTCCAACTGAAGTGCACACACACACACACACACACACACAATGTCAAATTGTGGAGTGTATACACATAAGGTCAGATTGTGAGTGCACACACACATAAGGTCAGATTGTGAGTGCACACACACATAAGGTCAGATTGTGAGTGCACACACACATAAGGTCAGATTGTGAGTGCACACACACATAAGGTCAGATTGTGAGTGCACACACACGTAAGGTCAGATTGTAGAGTGCACACACACATAAGGTCAGATTGTAGAGTGCACACACGTGGTCTCCAGATCAAGTCAGTAGACTCGATGTGGAAACTGAATGAAACTGGATGTCAAGAAACTTCCTCTGTGGAGTCTTTTTATGTCCACACTGCCTTCCCTCTTCTTTCATGTTGAGCTTTCTGAAGGTGACGAGGACTCCTGCTTTGTGAACTTCTTCAGATCTCAGGAACTTGCTTTGCCCCCTCTCCTGTCTGACTTTCATTGGCTTCAGTCAAGGCACTTCAATAAAAGGACACCTCAAAGAACCTGAGCCTAACAAAATGTAAATCTGAGACCAGGTGTTTTCCCTTCCTTTTTCTTAGGCCTCCCCCAGGTGGGTATGATCAGCAGTGAGCACCTGAGGGAAATGCTTCCCTGAAGCTGACTGCAGGTTTTTCTGATAGCCTTCGGGTGAAGCGATGGACTTTCTTCTATCTCCACTGATGACATGCTTGTCTGTTACCTATACAAAAAGACTGCTTTGAGTCGCCAATGTGTTATGTTGTAACATTAACAACATAATGATAAAGAAAAGACTGATAATACATCATTGCTGTCGATAGTATTGAATGGAATTCTCTCAGTAACCAGATTTTCATGCCCACTATTTGTTGTTCTAATACAGGATGAAGAGGAAGAAATCAAACAAGAAATTAACATGTTGAAGAAATATTCTCATCACAGGAACATTGCAACATACTACGGTGCTTTCATCAAGAAGAACCCTCCAGGCATGGATGACCAACTATGGGTGTGTAGCACTATGCAAATATGCATTTCTCTGACCCCTGACAAGACTTGATGGAATGACTTTACATTTGAAATACTTAGCCTGTGATTTTCATAACATTGAATTTTCAAGGTTTCCTCCCTTCTTCTTTTCATTATCTCTAAATCTTTCTCTTCTATCTCTTTTAAAAAATAAATTTACTCATTTATTTTGTGGCCATGTGCATGTGTTTGTGCATGAACACATGTATGTACAGGCGTGGCAAGATCAGAGGTCAGCATCAAGTACCTTCCTCTGTTAGTATCCACCGTGTTTTATTGTTCTTGCTGTTGTTTTTAGACAAGGTGTCTCCCTGTAGCTGGAGCTCAATGGTTTAGTTATACTGGCTGGCCAGGGAGCTTATGGGATCTACCTGTCTGCTCACAACCCCAGGGCTGGGGCTAACAGACAAGACCACTACATGCCCATATTTTTCCATGCAGGTGCTGGGATCTGAGCTCAGATCTTCAAGCATGTGTGGCAAGCACTTTACCCACTGAACCATGTTCCCAACACCCTTTCTTATATCTATATTAGCATGGGTCATGCCCAAAGCCGCTTGCTAATTTCTACTTCCTCTTCACCTGTCGACAATCTTTTATTGCATTTGTAATATATTTTAGGCACTGTGCCATCTACTGTCTATGAGTTATATGACATATTCCCATTCACTGAGATAGGTATCATCAGTCTCATTTCTTACATGATGAAACTAAAACTTTCAGAGCAGATAATCAATTGCCCCAAGGTCTGTGTGGTGGAATTGAAGCAAGCTCTAACTGAACTCTGGGCAATTGATATCATTGCAGGACCTCAAGCTAAGGTGCCTTGCCTTGCTTGAGCCTCTTGTCCTTGCAGCTTTGTACCCCAGTCCTTTGAGAGTTCTGGTTCTCTGTCCCACCGATGGCAATTGGCAGCCCGCCACCTCATCCTCTTCTGTGTTCAGCACACATTGTCTTTCTTGACCTTTGTGATCTCCAACACTAGAACTTGTTATTCACTTGGTCCTTCAGTGAGTACAGTGCCATCTTTCTCGATGCCATAAAAAGAATTTACCTCTTTTGCCAACCTTATGAAACAGTCTCAGTGTAGCCCGTTCGATGGAAGGTGGACCACTTGGTCTGCTTCCCTTCATCTCTTAGGTCTTCGCTCCTCTCAAGTGATGCTGGTGGGTTGATGACTCTGAAAATTAATGCTTTGCTCATCTTCTGGAGCTCTAGGTAGTGTATAACACACAAAACCTCCTGAGTGGGTGTCTATCAAATGCCAAGGATTGTGACAAGCTATGTGGCTCCAGTGATGAGCATTTCATGGACATTTCTCTGGGCTCAGTTGAATGGAAGTTACTCTGCTGATGCATATGGCATTTGAAATCCAACCGAGATGACAAGAACAGTATCCAGTGTATGCACATGCTGACCAAAAAAAAAAAAGTGATGATGTCAGCTCAAACATGAACAAGATTTCATTCCATGTAATACTGAATATTCAGCATGTAGAGGTGAAAAGATCTGCTGGGAAATTTTCCCCATAGGGCCCATCTCCAAATTTAACATAAAGGTACACTATAGGGCAAATAAAGTATGATGGTAGTGACTTAATATAGCATGTGGTTTCTGAAAATGTTATATTTAAGTTAATTGTAGTCTCTGCACATACAGTAATATGAAGGTTAAAAAATTTTAAAAAATGGGAGAAAATAAATGTGAATGCACACTCTGAGACATGACAAAGAGATAAGCTACAAACAAACCTTGATGGACTTGATTATATAACTTAAAAGTTATTACTAAAAATACAATAGAGATGTATGTCATTAACTTAGGAAAATATACATTTTATGTATGATGAGCAAAGTATAACAGCCTTCAGATATGAAGGATTTATACAAATCAACTGGGATAAAGTAGGAAACTACTACTAGCAAGGTAAGAGGAGGCCAAGGCAGCAGCTATAACATTAAGAATCAATTACCAATAAAGATGTTTTATAATGTTACTCTTGAAGATAATGTAAACTCAGAGACCCCAGCAAGAATTCAGCGCAATTTCCCACCTACAAGATTAGCAGATAGTGTTCAGTACCTACCATTCAGACCTATTTATCATGGAAATTCACTTAACCCAAGGACAGTTAAAATACACACAGTTCTCGTTCTCTCTCTCTCTCTCTCTCTCTCTCTCTCTCTCTCTCTGATACACACAGAGAGAGAAATATATGTACATATATATATATATGTATGTGAGTTTGTATACACACAGAGAGAATACATGTATACATATATAATGTATGTAAGTTTCTATACACATAGATATCTCATAGATGCACACACTCACGCATACAGAGAAAAATAAATGTATACATATATGATGTATGTGAGCTTATATACACACAGAGAGAGAAATATGTTTATACACATACATACACACATATATATTCCAAAGAAAGAACCTTAGTTTTGAACCAGTATATCTTTAAGCAGAAATTTATTAAAAGGAAATATTTACATAACTACATAAACAAATTAACCAATAAGAAATTTGCTCAACTATACAGTTAAACTAAACATAAATTTATTCCTTTTTGTTTTGTTTTATTCTTTGAGACAGTGTTTCTCTGTGTAGCTTTGGAGCCTGTCCTGGAACTAGCTCTTGTAGACCAGGTTGGTCTCAAACTCACAGAGATCCACCTGCTTCTTCCTCACAAGTTTTGGGATTAAAGGTGTGCACCACCACCACCCAGCTATAGATTTATTCTTATGAATGAATGAATGAACTATTGCAATAAGATTATCAAGTCTTACTTAAAGGTTATAATTGAATATATTATCTTCATTTTTATAAGAAAGACAAACTATGTGTTTATACATACATTGACAAGGTTGAAATCTCTGGACTAAACACAATAATGATGAGGAGAACATTTACTTTGGGGGGTCACTTCAATCTTTTCACTTTTAATTTAATTTTAGAGACAAGGTCTTTCTACATATCTCTGGCTGCTCTGGACCTCACTCTGTAGACCAGGATGGACTCAAACTCATAGAGATCCACCTGCCTATGACTCCTGATGCCTGGGATTAAAGACATACACTACCATGTCCAGCTATTTTTTTATTTTAAACATCATTATTTAAAAAGTAGAAAATTAAAAGTAATATTACAAGCCCAAATTAACCAGACCCCGAAACTCTACAACTTGGTGAATTTCTATACATTTAGAGTAGCCACCGGAGATGGGAGTTATGGAACTTCAAACTGGATTTTATATTTTCTGTATTGAATATATTTTTAAGTATATATCTACCACCAAATCAAAATATCTATGATAGAGTTAGAACTGGAAAAACAATTAGCTTTATATTTCTTTCTTAACTCATAACATTCACCTGCATTTAGTTCTTCCTTATCCCATAATATTTAGCCTTTCTTGTTCTGCTCTACATGGAGTACTGTATCCATATAGCATTTGTTAGCATGTATACATATGTTATTGGATAGGTTCCATATTTGAGGGACAGCATGCAGTATTTTCCTTTCTGAAGTTGGATAACTCATTTAGGATTAAACATTCTAAGTCCACCCATTTTGAGGCATTATTGTCTTCCATACTTGCTTCTCCTTGTGTTTCTCTCCCATGTGTGGTGTGTCCCTTTTCTGCTGTTCTTCTTTTACTGCTTCTCCTGGGACCACCCTAGCTCCTCACAATGGCAGACAGGGTAGGGGTTGCACCTTTTGTGTCTTTGTTTCCTCTTTTGGAAGGCACTGGGCAATATGAGCTGAAAACAGCATTTATTTGTGGGTGGGAACAGCATCACTGGCACAAGCCTTGTTGCCTGGATGCTTCCTGAGGGCCTAAAAGCTCAGTGGAATATAAAGAGGTGGCATGCACTGGAATACCTTCATGTCTCAAAGAACCCGGCACAGTCTGGAATCCAGCATTTAGTGTTGTCCTGTATTGCCATGAGCTACAACAGATGACTCCTAGAGAATGACACTTTTCCCAGTTTATTGCCAGGCTCTGGAGGTACCCCTGTGCACCCTTGCAGTCTTTGCTACCCTAGAAAGAACCACTATCCCTCCTCCTCCCCTAGAAAAAACCACCACCCCCCCCCCACCCCCCCCCCCCCCCCCCCCCCGCTTGTGATGGAATCCACTGCCTTGTGCAAGATGGGCAAGACTCTGTTGTGACTCCCTCTGTCCTTTCTACCAGGGTTTAACTGGCAAACTTTGATAGTATTGAAGAGGATGTAGAGCAACGGGAATGCTTGCACACTGCTGGTGGGGTTGTCGGTCAATGCAGCCATTGTGGAAAACGCTATGGAGGAATCATCCAGCAGTTCAGTTCTGTGTTTATTTGGAAGAAATGGCATCATTCCATCCAAGAGACAACTGCACACCATTGTCCCTTTGCACAATACAGAAAGAGTACTGGCAATTTTATGCAGTCTGTGGTCAGGGCTATAGTGCCAATTAAGCATAAAAATGAAGAGGAAGAATTTTAAGCAACCAAAAAAGAAGCCAGCAGTTTGCAACCAGAAGCTAACCCTCACCAGAGCCTGACCATGCTGCCTCCAGAATTGTGAGGTATTTTGGCTTAACAAGCCATCTAGCTTATGGTATGTGGTGCTTTGTTAGACTAATGTCAGCTTAATATATGGTGGTGAGTAAAGTTGTCAGGATAAGCCCTGCTATGGTTAACTTGAGGAAAGGCATTGCCAGCCTTCTGTTTCTTGGGAACAATGATGAGTCACTGTGACTGGGAGAAAGTAGGAGGCAGAAATGCAGGAGAGACCTGAGACCAGATCTTCCACTGCCTTGCCTGCCATTGGCAAGACCCCAGCTTTTATTTCACCTGCAGTGGGGGGCCTTTGGAGAGCTCTAGGGATGAATGGGATCTGAAGCTCAAAATGAAGCCATCACATTGGTTGCTGGGTTGAGAGCAGAGTTAGAGTAGACACAGGCAGGCCAGTTAGGAGGCTG